GCCCCCTGGGCCCCCCTGGCACCGCCTGCGAGCCCCTGGCGTCCTCCCGCACCTCCCTGCCGCCGCCCCCGCCTCCTGCCATCCCCATCTCCTCCCTGACAGTAGCGGAGGGACCCGGGTACCAGCACCCCCCGTGTCGCGAGCTCTATTGACAGTTATCCAGAATCTGAAGGAATTCAAGACAAATTGTTAAGAGGATGGAGTTAATAAAATTTGAAAAATTGAGGCCTGTCACTCTGCTAAACTTTTTTCGATACCGCTGACAGAAACATATTTCCCCAATGAGTGACCTTATGCAGCTGCTCCAGCGACGCGACGCTGCGCGGATGCTGGGAGTGAACCAGCGTGCTATTTATCAAATATTATAAGCCGGGGCCTCCTAATATGAGCAGGGAGGTGCGGGAGGAGGCGACGGGCTCGCACAGCCCGAGGTGTTGCCCAGGTGTCGATCTCCGGCTACAGACAGCTTGTGGGAGGTGACAAATTGCCTTCTATTAAGTCTCCAAAGGTTGGCGTCCCCTCCGCCGCCACTCGAGCCAGCTGCCGGGGTGGGAGAGGGCAGGGGAGGAGGTGGGGATGGGGAAGGGGGTCAGGCCGGGGCGCCGATGAACCGGTCGCCACTTTTACCTTCTATTAGCAAGCAAAGTGACACCGTTATTTATTGCGGCGTAATATTTTATTGCTGCCGGTACGCGAGGTTGGAATCGACCAGTTGTAGGAGTCGGGTTCTATCAATTATTGCAGCAATTAGTCAAGTCGTCAAAGCCATTAACACGGGGATTAGGCCAATATTGGAGAGCCATTATTGATAGAACCAGGGGAAGGGAAAAGCCAAACAAACCCTCTCAACCTTCGGCTGAAATGAGAGCAGGCCTGGCCTCGAGGATGTCATCATTTGGAGAAGCCAGAAAACTCGCCCCCCTCCTCGCTGCCCGGAGGAGCGCAGACCCGGGGTGGGTTTCGGCAGCGGCGGGGGGGCCGTGGGAGCACTGTCTCTTTAAAAGATATTGAGTGGCCGGCCTCGGCAGTATATAACCTCACCTGTCTCGATCATATTCTTTATTTGCAATGACAGGGCTTGCAATAGAAATTACTCTGTGTCGAATGTTTATGGAGCACATTTTTCATTCTGTAAGCAAATATAGATCCCTGACGCCAATGCTTAGAAAGGGCTAATCTCTCTGCCTCCCGCTCGCGGAGAGTCCTCTCACTTCTTTCATATATTATGATTGCTGCCCGCTTTTATTGAGCACTCCTGGTGCTCTGCGCTCCCCGGCGTTGTAGAAGCAGAAGCTGCAGCCTGGTTTGCGTGTGCCAGGGTACCCGGTTCGCTCCCGTGTTTCCAGCGGGGCGGAAGACGTCCGCCGAGCCTCTTTGCGGAGCGGGGATGCTGCAGCGGTGCCCGGGCTCCCTTTTTCCGCAGTCGTGCGCGGGCGCCGTCAGCCTGCCCGTCCCAGCAGCTTCTCACCGCCGTCCCCTCCGTTTTACAGGCGGGGGGGGCCGCACG